GTTGTTTTCAAAACTATTGAAAAATGCGTTATTGTTTGTTTTCTTCAACGACATACAGCAGGCTCGTAAAACCAGCTAGACAGAGCGAGGTACAGAATAATACTGGTTATCACGCGGCCACGCGCAACTTAAGATGTTGGTACTCAATTGTCTTTTGAATAATTATGGCAGCTGGTACCTAAAAAGGTTTATTTCGGAAATTCGCACAAAGCTACACAAGGGCCACCTGCGAAAACCATCCTTATTTTGAATTGATAGATTAGAGAGAGTGAAAATCTAGTAAACCGCACATACCGCCATTGGGCTACTCACTCTAATCGAATAGTTGGATTCGACTATCACTCTTATAACACGCCCACAGCCCCAAAGAGCAAAGCGCGTTTCTGTAGCAATGATACGCGAACCGTAGGCCATCGAATATACAGTCGTTTGCTTATATACAGCTTGTTTGTTTGTAATTAAGCACAAAGCTACACAATGGGCTATCTGTGCTCTGCCCACTTCGGGTATCGAAACCCGGATTCTAGCGTTATAAGTCTGCAGACATACCGCTGTGCCACTGGGGGTGGGGCTTTAGCACATGTAGAAATATTCGCGTTCAGATTTCCCCGACACCGAACAAAACAATATTGTCAGGGTAATAAATTTTTTGCAATAAATATGACTGCACATCGTTGTTTATTTTTGAGATTATTTTAAAAGAACAAATTGAAATGAAAGTAAGGTACGTCAGAATGGTTATATTAGAAAATTCTATTAAATCATTAGATGGGGTCTTTAGCCAGGATGGCTAAGGTCTTGGAGGGGAGGGGAAGTGGATCCAGCTAAAACAGTATAGCAAACTGTCAAAAACAGCAAGTATAATAAACACCTGAAGACACCCATGTCTGTGGAAGTAACCTGATAGAATGCAGGATTCCCGTCCAAGATTCGGGGCTCGATCTCTGCGGAGAGAAGAGTGCGGATAGTCTATTGTAAACTTTATTTTAAACATACAAATACTTATGAATATTTAACGATAACACTAACATTCGGGCTCGATCCCTGCGGTGAGTGGAGTGCGAATAGTCTATTGTAAACTTTATGTTTAGGACCTGGCATGGCCAAGTGGTTAGGGCGCTCGACTCGCAATCCCCGTCCCACCAAACATGCTCGCCCTTTCAACCATGGGGGCGTTATAAAGTGACGATCAATCCCACTATTCGTTGGTAAAAGAGTAGCCCAAGAGTTGGCGGTGATGACTAGCTGCCGATCCTCTAGTCTTACACTGCAAAATTAGGGACGGCTAGCGCAGATAGCCCTCGTGTAGCTTTGCGCGAAATTCAAAAACAAACTTTATGTTTAAACAAACAAATACCTATGAATTCATAACGACATTAAGAAAACTATTTTTTAAGTGTTCCTCATAAGCGTAAAACAACAACTTACTTTAATGTATTAATCCTATACTTTTAATATTAAGAATAATAGTACTCTAGTTAGTATCTATTCTGTTTTTCCCGCTTCACGGAGTGTTTGTTATTTCGGTGTTTAGCGTAGCAGTTTTTATACTGAAAGATCGCAGATAGTCTATTGTGTAGCTTTCTAATAAGAATCAACAACGGTGAAGTAAAATGTTTTGAACCTACTGCCATCTGTTGACAATTAGAGAAAACGTAACATCGCCTGGCTCTGAAACGAGTATTTGTATTGTTAAAATTTACTTTGAAATAAAGACAATCAAATGCACATTGAAATAACATTTCATTACAGTTTGTTTTATTACTACTCGGTGCATCTCAGAATATTTTAATTTCTTGAATACTCAAACAAAACATTTTAAGTAAATTGAATTAGTAAAATTAGATTAACTATGATTTCTTTTTAGGAACAGGTATTTGTTTTTTACTATTTAATATTAGATTAACCAGTTGCCCCTTCTCCCGGTGGCTTAATGGTAAGTCTGAGGGTTTATAACGCTAAAGCCCCATGGTAACATGTCCAAACTGAGGAATAATTAAGTTGGTGTGGCTATAAATCACACCTTCTCCTAAAGAGGTTTGTTTTACTGAAATATGTATTAGGGGTATGACTACTGGACACACTTTTCTCAACTAATTATACGTAATGCTCTGAAGACACTAAAAGTTAGTGTGTATTGGGAACTTAAAAAGATCACTTGCTTATAAATTCTGTAATAAATTGTGGGTTCGTGACTTTAGTTGATTATCTTCACGTAATCGATCATAATAATACAAACAGAACTGTAATTACACCACACAGTTGAAGAAAGATATAAAGATTAAGTTAAGACATTCACGCTGTTATCCGGGTATTGAGTAGGTTAGATATTCACGATGTTATGCGGGTACAGAGCAGGTTAGAGGTTCACGATGTTATCCGGGTACAAAGTAGGTTAGAAGTTCATACGTTATCCGGGTACAGAGTAGGTTAGAAGTTCATATGTTATCCGTGTACAGAGTAGATTAGAGATATTTTCTATTTCTAATTGCCACCCCCAACCCGGTTCAGCTTTAGCGATAAAATACAGAATTTGATCTTTGTGGCATACAAATCATAGAACAATCCATCGTACAGCTTTGCGCTAAAGAAAACAAAAAACAACTTTAGTAGTCAAAATCTTGCCAATGCCGGTATTTTCTTAGAATTCTTTATTACCTAGTTTAATATTTTTTTTCCTTTCGCTTTAACTACTCTTCATGTTTTAATATCGTATTTCAGTTATAACAACACATTTAGGGAAGTCTCTAAACACAACTGGGTTTGAATTACGGAAATCAAGTTAAAAGACGGTTCAAAAATCGATTATTCGTTTTGAAGACGACTATAAAATATCAAAAACTGTGAGACTTGTTCATGACTGAAGCCTGTCTTAAAGGTATCTATTATTTTACTTGTTCATCACCGAGGCCTGTCTTAAACGTACCTATTATTTTAAGGGTAACAATGTACGTTAACTTCTTTGGCACTTAGGGTTAACACAACACAATGGTTTAAAAAATATTCTTAAATGCTGAAGACGAAGTGTTTGATAGTTAGGTATGTGAGAAAAATGAGGGGGGGGGGGCTTCATCCCTTTAGTTCGTTTGTAAAGGTTGATTGTTCACAGAACTAATGGTATTCGGTCCATTTTTATAATGGTTTTTGTAGTTCCGCACAAAACTACATTACAGGATATCTGTACTATACCTACGACGAGTATCGAAACCTGGCTTTTAGCGTCATAAGTCCGCAGACCTGCTGCTGGGGGAAAGGCGGGGGAGCTTTACAATGGGTCAGAAACATTAACACAGATACGCATGTGCTTAGTAAAATAAAAAGTATATCTCGTAGACGTCAGAACCGGGGACAATTTGCCCCCAGTAATTAAATTGGAGCCCAAATATCATTGCCCCACCCAATAGCTTCCTGACAATTTTTGTATTTGTTTTTTTTTCTATTAAGTCGGCTGACTTTACTAATCAAAATGAAAGGAGACTACAGTTGTTTTTTTGGCAATTTCTAAACATTAAGTTGTTAGTAACATTTTGTGTCTCTGTATACTGGTTATTATTCGCAACATTCCTATTACTTGTATGACAAAAGGTTTAGTAGTACATAGCAATTAATTTAATATGTTTTTTTTTTATGTGCAATAGTTTGTTTAACGCAAACCTACACAATGAGTTATCCGACCTCTGTCTCCAGCACAGGAAATCGAACCCCGCACTTTTGAACAAAATAGCCTAACAAAACGTCTGTCAAAGATATATTTAGTGTGCATTCGTTAGCTGAAAATTGTTCAAGTCAACAACGTCTCGTGGACCACTGTAGGAATTATTCTCACGATACACTCACTAATTGTCATTTTAAATTACGTTATAACACACATATGTATTAATTCATCAAAACATTTTGTTTTAAAAACTACGTACACAACAAACGCAATGGAACAAAATGAATTGGTATCGAATTTTCGCGCAAAGTTATCAAAGGGCTATCTGCGGTAGGCGTTCCTAACTTTGAATTGACAGGTAAGAGGGAAGGCAGCTGATAATAGAACCCACAACAAACCCTTGGGCTACTTTTTTTTTTTATTGCCACAATAATTTTACGTTCACCAATTTTCTCCACACAGTACTATTCTTATAATTCTGTCCATTTGCTTTTTCAAATGAAAATGTCAAAATAATAAACATTCGCGTCTTCTTAAGTTTTCTCAATGAAACAAGTCAGGCACGTTAAGCCTACTATTCGACCTCTGCAAGAATCAGTGTTAAAACAAAAAAGGTGGATTCCGCATTCGAACTCGTTAAGGTTTATACAGTATCACTATATTATGAAGTAAAACCGTGAGAAATAAACGTTACATACAAACTTAAAATAAGATTCATGCTTTTGTGGTAACATCCTCGGCTAAGTATCGAACCTAAGACCTTTCGCACATCAGCCGAAATAAAGGGTTAACCCCCTAGCAGTTTCTAGCAACAAATACTGCATTATTTAATTGTAGAATAATTAGGGGCTGACATTTCCTCGTGGCAGTTAATTAATGTCATATTATAATGTCTAGGTTACAGGGAAATTATTAGTTGAATAAAACATTTATATACGTTTGTTAAATTTATGACTACAACATTGTTCATTAATTTAAACAATTTCTCGTACATATTGAACATTAAAGAAAACCATCTCAAAATTAGCATACGATACCAGACTAACGTGTATCGTGTTGTTGTCACGTCAATCAAAATAATAAAACAATATTTAACCATGAACGTTCTTGGAAACAAAATATTAACGACTTCTATTACCTTGTTGACGTACGACACCATCTCAGGTTTTAATGAGATGGTCAGTCATAGGAAGTTGTTAAAAGGTCGTTACCAAATCCACCACTTAAATGAACGTCTTGTTTATATCTATGTTATAAAACTCGTTCAAAGACACCATCCGTTTAGAAACTTGAACTGTTTTATTGCCCAAAAAACACGTACAAAAATATTTACAGATTTGTTTGTTTTTTGAAAAGAAAATACATTTTTTTTATAAAAATTACATTTATAAAAGAAACGCTTTTTTTTAAAAAAACGTTTCTACATGTGACTTATATTGAGATAGAAATTCAGGCCTAACGACTGTTGCATAACATTTGATAGTACTGATCGCATTGTCCTCTGAATAATACTTTACATGCTAATGTTAAAGTTCCTGTTAAGCCTAAGAACCTTGATCTACATGGTAGTAAAATGAACGATCCACACACATGCAATGTACAAAACCAAAAACAGTTAAATCACACAACTCAAATGGTGAACCATACATGAAAATACATTTACGGTGTTTTAAGACCTTTTTTAATACACCATTTAGTAACGCAGATTAATTTAGATATGCGAATAATACTGTGGCATTGCATCAAATTTATTATTCAGTATTGTACAGCGGACCATACATTTTTAACGATGATATTAAAGATTTCTTTTCACCAAAAGTAAAATTGAAAATATAATCTGTGACTAAAGGCCTAATGCATTCTTTGATTCCCAGTAACCCTTACGTCACAGATTTATATTTTCAGCTTTAACCTTTGGTGAAAAGAAATCTGTAATATCATTACAGAAAAAAGTGCTATAATTATGCTATAAAAGCACCACATAAAAAGTCAACCTTATTTTCATATTTAAGGCTTAAGGAATCACAGAACAGTGTCTTTCAAGACTACAGGAATCTTTGTGTGCAAGGTGTGAGAGTTAGCACAACTTAACGAGTTTCCCTGTTTTATATTACTACATAAATGTGCCTTCCCTAATCATTTTTCTATTCTTGTTTTGTATTATTCTCTTTTTTTTTAATACAATACCACATCTTCTTAGTTAGAAGGTAGTAAAATACACAATATCTACATATGAAATATACACATGAAATATATAAATTTTTATTTAATTTTTTTGAAGACTGGAGTTAATACAGACTGTACACTCATATATATACAAACTTCAAGCTTCTGTCTTTTTCATGCTATTAGCTCTCTCACTGGTGGCGCTCCTTTGACGGTAAAAAACACAAGCTTGGCTTCCTTTCTTTGGAGATTTCTGAGACTGTACGAATTACCTATTAACAAGAATACAAATGAGATACAGTTTTAAATATGAAAAACCAAAATATTTTAAAACAAAGTGCTCTCAGCTTGTTTTCAGTTCTGAAACGAACTCTCCGTACATTTATTCCTGAAAATAAACTGATTCGCTAATTATTGAAAACTTTATCACTCAATTCTGAGAAATTATGAGTGAAGTAAAGAAGAAAGTATAACACTGTCAACCACAATATTGTCTACTATGTCCAGTGGTGACGAGGCCTTTCACCCAATACCAGGGCTCATCAGTTCAACTTGGATATGAGAGATATGGTAGTGGATGAGATGCTATTAGAAATACCAGGGCTCATCAGTTCAACTTGGATATGACAGATATGGTAGTGGATAAAATGCTATTAGAAATACCAGGGCTCATCAGTTCAACTTGGATATGACAGATACGGTAGTGGATGAGATGCTATAAGAAATACCTGGGCTCATCAGTTCAACTTGGATATGACAGATATGGTAGTGGATGAAATGCTATTAGAAATACCAGGGCTCATCAGTTCAACTTGGATATGACAGATACGGTAGTGGATGAGATGCTATTAGAAATATAAGGGCTCATCAGTCCAACTTGGATATGACAGATACGGTAGTGAATGAGATGCTATTAGAAATACCAGGGCTCATCAGTTCAACTGGGATATGACAGGGCTCATCAGTTCAACTTGGATATGACAGATATGGTAGTGGATGAAATGCTATTAGAAATACCAGGGCTCATCAGTTCAACTTGGATATGACAGATACGGTAGTGGATGAGATGCTATTAGAAATATAAGGGCTCATCAGTCC